TCCATAATGCAGATCCATTGGACGGCATCTTCGCAATGAGTCCAGTTGCGGCTGGGGAATGATCCAGGGCCGTTCCAGACGAATGCTCGGGTCCCTCTGGTAACAAGCTGCTTGATGATGGCATCGTCGCTCCCGCCCCCAGTCGAGTGCACGATTACCTGTCCTTTGCAATATTCCCAGGGCCCGTTGAACAGCGCAAGCAACTCACTCCTGCGAAAAGCATTACCTGGCGCATCGGGTAATGCACTGTTCAACGCTCGAACGTTCCACAGAGACTCGCGAAGGCTCAGGGCGTGCCTCACGATGGTCGCCTCGCAGAGCGCGCGACGAATCGCACCGCGAAATGTCTTCAAGTGGTTCTGAAACGATAGCGACAAGGACACGTGCTTCAGTTTGGACACGACTGGCTTCATCAGGCCGCATACATATCCCCTCGCATTACAGCACTTGCGCACGAAACACTCGTGCGAAGAGCAGCAGCGGCAGCCCCCTTTTCTCGTGTAAGTGCTCGTGCTCGCTCAGCCCGTTCGATAGCTTGGCCCCCGTCGCTGGCCACGCACCGCTGCTGCCGCTTGAACTTCGGGCCAACGTCATCCAAGTTCAACAGCTGCTGCAACAAGTCTGAACACAAGTAGAAACTCGATGCTGTCGTTCGGGACATGCACAGAAGGGGCAAGGGCGGCATCAATGCGAATAAGACCCATTTCGAACGCATGTGAACCAATGCCCCGACCACGATCTCGGACTGCAATAACTTAGCAACACTGGTGTCCCGTTCGCCAACCGTGTTAGTGGCATCATTGGGCACCTGCTCGAGCCTCTCCAAGACCTCGTCGGGCAGACCGTGCAACCGATCCTGGTCGATGAGCGTCATTTCCATTGGGGTTTCGTCGCACCGCCAGCACGTAGATAGAGTATGCAGTACCCCGTCGGCAGCTGCCACTACAGTCTCACATAGCTTAGTGATGTTATCCCGCATCTACCAATAAAACAGCAACCGCGAGATGCATGCCAATCGGGAGGCTGTGGAAAGCAATACTCGTCTGGAGACACCCAACCGCTTAGCATGATCAGTGTACGTGTTGACTTTCAGCCATGCGCACCGCCTGGACACGATATCACCCACGACCTTGCCGAAATTCATATATTTGGGTATGCGGTCCAGGCCCCCACTCGCCATGAGTTTCACGATGCTGGCGAATACCTTGGGCGTCCCACTGAGAATCCGATGGCTATCTGGCAGCGGCCGACTGGGCTGGTCTGCACTCCCTGGAGCAGGCTCATCGGGGGGTGGGGGTGGGTGGGCGCCGCTTTCACTCAAATCCGCAATTTCTGGCAGCAGGCAGCGTGACTGGCCCGACGCACTTTCCACGAGACGTTTTGATTGTTCTGCGATCTCCTTCAACATTTCCCTGGCAACCCTGACGGACACGACGGCTGGAGCAGGAGGCGCACTTTCCGAAGCTGTTGGGCGGGCTGCTTCCAAGACGGGCTGAGCAATTGATACTGCGCACGCGGCTCCGCATCTGGTTCTGGTGGCTCCTCCCCCCCGTCTGGCCGTCCGCCACTCTCACTGGCGGGAGACACCCATCCAATCAATAATTCATCAACGTCCTGCTCAGGACCAGCTGCTGCAACAGATTGCCCGAAATCCTCGACGAGCTCACTGCTGACATCAATATGTTCGAACAAGCCGTCGCAGCTGGAAGAACCATCTGAAGCCAACCAATCATCTAATCGAATTCTGGGATCGACCATGCTGCCAGGATAATATTTTGAGCCAAAACGGTTACGGATTGATTGAACCCCCTTGTATATTTTCGTTTTCGTTTGTCACTGTGGCTATACACCCTACCGTCCCGCGTCCACTCCTCACAAGTACATACAACCGTTCCTCTTCACACCAGGATGAGCACGCAAGCATTCCTCATAAGGCCAGACAAACAATCCTCATAAGTCAATCTTCCCGTAGCATACGGCCATACAATCATTCCTCATTAAGGTCATACAAGCATTCCATACACGCGCGTGCCTCCGATGCCGGCTTATCGGTGCTGCTGCCCCCCTCGCTCGTGAACAATAAAGGGTCAAACTGTGGGCCCATCCGAGCCCCCCCTGATGCTGTCCTTCACGAGGCCGCTTCCCAATCCTCCCAAACAGTGCCCTTCACGAGCCCCCCCCCCCTACTCCGATGGGCAGCGTCCTCCCACTAGACTGACCGTTGATGTTATCGATTTTTCGTCCTCACCCCTAAGTGATTAAAAAGTGTTTGAAAAGTGTTGCTCAGAAAAACTGTATCTGATCTGTTCCTACGCAAACGAACTTCTCAATACTACTACTACTACTACTACTACTACTACTACTACGACTACTACTACTACTACTACTACTACTACTACTACTACTACTACTACTACTACTACTACTACTACTACTACTACTACTACTACTACTACTACTGTTCTTCGTATTCTTCCTGCTCGTATTGTTTACGGCGCGCTGGTCCTCCTCGGGTCCTCCTCCCCAGGTGGGGAGGAGTCCCAGGGGGGCGAGGAGAGTCAGATACGCATCCGTCCCTGGGGGTCCTCCCCCTGCCCTCCCCTCTCTCACGCCAGTCCTCCTCCGGTCCTCCTCCCCAGGGGGGGGGGCCCAGGGGGGAGTCCTTTTCCTCATCCTTCTCCTCCTCCTCCTCCTCCTCCTCCTCCTCCTCCTCTTCCTCCTCCTCCTCCTTATCTCCGCCTCCTCCTCCTCATCATCCTTCTCCTCCTCCCCCTCCTGGTCGTCGTCGATGTCTTTCAGGGTCGACGGCACCGGCCGTCAGGACTTCACAATAAGCAGAAGTAGAAACAGAAAAAGAGTGGGCCATGAAATCCGGGAAGCTTAAAAAGGCCACGGCCACGACATCCGCACATCCCTAATCCTCCCCCCCCCTCTTCGCCACACCAAGTATACGGATCCACCTCCTTCGTCCTCCCAGGTAGAGGCCTCCCAGATGGGTTCCGAGTAGATGGGGTCGGAGGATTGCACCGCATCGCCGATGTATCGGCGATGCATCGGCGACGTCGGCACGGAGAATATCGGGCTCCACATCGAACCGCATCGCCGATGCATCGCCGATGCGGCCATCTACTCCGACCCCATCTGGAGGCCTAGACCTGGGGAAATGCGGTCGAGGACTCTGGAGGCCCACGCCCAGAATGGGTCAGCATCGAGTCGGAAAACCGGGTCGAACCGACATGTGCCTCGGACCCGGCTGCATCGGCACGGAGCCGAGATCGAATCGGGTCGGCTGCGCCAGGATGCACAGCAGCGCCATGCAAGCACCAGGACGCGTCGAGCCGTCGGAGCAGCGGAATCGAAGCGGATCGGGCCGGTCGTGAGCGGCATCGGAGCGAATCGGATCGAATCGAAGTGGGCCCTGACGCCTCGAAAAGCACACGTCGGCGGCGAGCGAGGGGGGAAGTGAGAAGGAGAAGGCCTTCTCAGAGGGCTCGGAGGTCCCCTGGCCTTCCGAGAAGTGTCCCGCGCCTCCACCGAAGACGCAGGAAGAGACCTCCCAGAAGGCGCGAGGGGCTTCTGAAGAGTCCCGCCGCCTTCCGAGGAGACCGTCTCCTTCTCGCTTCCGCCCCCCCTGGCTCGCCGCCGAGCCTCGGAAGGCACACGGGAAGGGGGAGGGGGCAGGAGCAGCGGGCCCCACGCGCGGGCAGCCCGCGTCGGGGCGTCGGGAGGCCAAGGCGAGGTCGGGCATGTCCTCCTGCAGGCGGATCCGGGTGAAAAAAACACAGACCCCCCGAGAATACACCGAAAAATCATCAAAAAGGGCCGAAAAATCGTCCCTGGACTATGTGTGCTGCCCCTGTGGAGGGACGTGCCCGACTCGGAGGCCAGGGGGGAGGAGCCTGCCCGCCGCGCAGGGAGGCACCACGGGGGGGGAACGAGGGGGCAGGGCAGCCGAGGGCAGGGCAGAGGAGCGGCTCGCGTGGCTGGTCTTCCCGGCGCCGGGAGGCGCCTGAGCAGCGAGGGTCCTTCCAGAAGACCCTTCAGCGAGGCGCCTGTGCAGCGAGGCGCCTGTGCAGCGAGGCGCCTATGCAGCGAGGAAGGCTTCTGGAAGGTTTTAGGAAGGCTCTTCCCCCAAAAAAACTCCTCAGGAAGGCGTCTGGAAGGTTTGAGGAAGGTTCCTCCAAAAAGCCCACCTGAGGTGTTGGCCAGGTTCTTCCGAAAAAACCCGGCCGCGGGGCCGAAACCAGCCGCATGCAGCAACTCCCGTACCCCGCACCCACCCACCCCGTTTCCTTTCCCCCCTTCCGTCCGGCCCGAGGGGCGGGGGAGAGGAGGAGGGCGGAGGGGAGAGCGGCGGCGCCCCCAGGGGGGGGAAGTGCAAAGGAGCCGGCCTTCTCGAAAGGGGCCCAGATGGAGACTATAATCCCAGGGTACCCCGTGTTCTCCACATGTTCTGGATTGTCACACTCTTCCCCTGCACTTCCTGTACTTTCCCATATTTTCCTGGGAATCGACGATCATTTGTCTGTGTGCTTTTTTGTTCCCCCTCCTGGTTCTCCAAAGGCGGCGGGGCTTCTCGGAAGGCCTCTGGCCTTCTGAAGAGTTTTCTGCTTCGTCGGGGAAGGCTCGGGAAACTTCTCAGCAGGCCCAGGGACGTCCGAGCCTTCTGAGAAGGCCCGCCCCCTCCCACTTCCCCCCAGGCTCGCCGCCGAGGAGAGGGAGCAGCGAGGGGGGGGGGGAAGGGGGGGGGGACTGTGACGGGGGGGAGCAGGGGAGACGGCTGGGAGGGAGAGGCAGTGCAGGCCGGGTGGGGGCGGTGCGCGGCCTGGCGGCGATGTGGGGCAGGGCAGGCGGACGGGGGAGGGGAGCCAGGCTGGGGGCGCAGGGCAGCGCCCCGATGCCCGAGCGCTAGCACTGCCAACGCTCGCAGGCGCGAAAGAGAAAACGAGGACGGGGAGGCACCCGGCCGAACCGCTTCTTTTGCGGGCCCCCTGGGTCACCACGCTTCCTCTCGCCGTTCGCCATGGTGTACGTGCCAAGGCCGTGGAGCTGCCCCTTGCGCCAGCAGCCGCTGTACTCGCGCCCGTCGGCCCACGTGAAGGTGCCCTCGCCGCTCTTCTGGCCGTGCTCGTACTCGCCAGCGTAACTGCACCCGTCGGTGTAGGTGAACACGCCGCGGCCGTGGCAGCTCCTGTTGCTCCACTGGCCCCTGTACTTGCGCCCGTCGCTCCACAGGTACACGCCCTCCCCGTGCATCGAATTCTCACTGAACTGTCCCTCGTACATGGAGCCGTTGTCCCAGACGAACCTTCCAGAGCCGCTCTTCTCCCCCTCCTTGAACTCCCCCTCGTAGCAGTCGCCATCGGGCCAGCTCTCGTGGCCATGGCCGTGCTGCTTGTCGTGGAGCCACTCGCCCAAATAAGTCGGCCCCGCACGACCAGCAAACTTACCACTCCCGTGTGCCATGCCGGCGACCCATTGACCCTCATAGATATCGCCCTTGCTGCTCACATAGCTCCCGTGCCCCTCCGCCAGGCTCCTGCAGAAGCGGCCCTCGTACCTCAAATGGGGCCCAGGAAGATACAAATAAATTCGCCGACCCTTTCCTGTGTGTGAGACGCTTTTCCGTCGTCGTCGTCGTCGTCGTCGTCGTCCTCGTCGTCGTCGTCGTCGTCGTCGTCGCCGCCGTCGCCGCTCCCCCCTTCCTCTGGGCCCTCCTCCTCAAGCGATTCAGCCAAACGGAAATCGAACAATATCGCCCTGTCCCTTTGATCCCTTCCCCGCTGGGGGGGGGGGGTAGCGGGGGGGGGTCCCGGGGCTGTCTTGGGGAGTCGTGACCTTCCCCCCGGGGGAGGCCCCCTGTGGACAAAGGGGACAAGGGGTGGTCCCCACTGTGGACAGTGGGAACTCAGAAGCACTCCCCCGCCTCCCCGTGGACGAGGGGACCACCACCACCACCCCTCTTCCTCCCAGACACCCCCTCCGGAGGCACCCTCCTCACTCTCATTTGCTGTTGCGGGGTGCTGCGTATTTTCCCACGTGCATCCAACAGGCCTCAGATCCGCTCCGAGGCGGCTCCAAGTGACCACGGAGGTTCCCAAGAAGTCCTCCAAGAGGCTCCAAGAGAGCCCCAAGAAGGGCTCCAGAACGTCAGCGTTGTCGTCGTCGTCGCCGCCGCCGCCGTCGTTGTCGTCGTCCCCCTTCAGGGTCGGCGGCACTGGCTGTAAAGCCTTCTCAATAGACACACGTTCCAAGATTCCCTATTTTTTCCAGATTTCCTTAGGATTCCCTCTTCCACTCCATTCCCCATACTACCCCACACGCTCGTGGAAACCCCAACGTGGTTGTGCCTGTGCCTGCCTTTTCCCTCCTGAGACCTGCCGCCGTCCGGAAAGGTCTGGGTGCCCTCCCCGTCCAGGTGATCTCCCAGCCACTCGCCCGCATACCTGACGCCGCCGGGGAGGACCTGCTCTGGCCGGAGCACCCTCTCGGGCCCGCTGGCAGCGGGCCGAGGCAGCGGGCGCCCCGAGTCGCCGTCCTGCCCGGCGGGCTGGGAGCTCGGAGCGCTGCCGACCGCTATCTCCTCGAGGCCCTCCTCGGCGTGCCGCATCGCGCGGCCATGGCCCCTCGGCAGGCGCGGGCCCCGCAACCGTAGGGGCACGCGCCCTTCGCCTGGGAGGCCCGAGCCGCACGCGGGCGTGCTCGCCTCGGGTCCGCGCGCGCCCCGGCGCGCGCCCGCGGGGGCACAGACGGCCGGGGGGGGGGCGGCCCGCCCCCGCTGCGCCTGCGAGGTGTGCAGAGGTGGGCGAGAAGGGGCAGCCCCGGGGGCAGGAGTCGGCGGCGAGCGGGGGGGGGGGGATGAGAAGGAGAAGGCCTCCTCCGAGGGCGGGGGGGGTCCTCAGAGGCCCTCGGGCCTCCTGAGGAGCCCTCTGCGTCTTCGGGGAAGGCTGAGAAGACTTCACGGAAGGCTGGGGGGGCTTCCGAGCCTTCTGAGAAGGCCCGCCCCTTCTCGCTTCCCTCCCTCGCCAGCCACCGAACAGGGGCAAGAGGGAGGTGCAGAGGAAGAAACAACTAAAATCATAGATATCCACTTTCGGAAGTCCGCGCGGATCGGCACAAGACGCCCCGCTCTGGCGAGCGGAGCGCGCCCAGGGCGGCGACGGAGGCGGCGCCAGTGGGGCCAAGCGCAGACCCATTAAATATGCGCGGACCTCCGAAAGTTGTTATTTCCCTGCACGCTTCGTGAGGTTATGGTTTTCTTCCCTGCCGCATCCCACCCGCGAAGCTCACACACCTCACCTCCCCCTTCTCCCTCTCCTTCTCACCTGCACTCGCGCAGCATACATACACGAAGCACACATACAGCACACATCCACCACACATATACACAGCACACATACACACCACACATCATACATACAAGCATCTGTTTCGGGCTCGCAAAGCCGCGCAACACATGACACCCACACACGCACACACACACACACACACACACACAACATACCTGGAGACACGTACAGCCATAGGATTCGCAGCTATGCGTGTCAGAGTCGGAAAGTGTGGCAGGCGTGACATATTCTCCACACAGTAGTGGGTGCGCAGGGGGCGGTGTCGTTGTGTGTGCTTTCTCGACACCGTAGGGGGCGCGCAGAGGGTCCCTCACCGCGGTCTTTATACGCGCCAATGTCGCAGGGCCTGGCAGGCGTGGCACTTTCTCGACACCAGAGGGGGTGCGCAGGGCGCGCCAATGTCGCAGGGCATAGCAGGCGTGGCACTTTCTCGGCACCCGAAGGGGTGCACACGGGGTGGTCCCTCACCGCGGTCTCTATAATTACGAGCCAATGTCGCAGAGCCTAGCAGGGGTGGCACTTTCTCGACACAGGAGGGGGTGCCCAGGGGGTGGTCCATCACCGCGGTCTGTATACGCACCAAATGTCGCAGGGCCAGGAAATCGATTTCGGTTTAAGGTTCGTGTCGTGCGTGCCGTGCGTGCGTGCGGGTGAGGCGAAGCTGCGTGGGCGGGCGAAAGAAAATCCTCCTGTGGCTGGGCCGCGACTGGACCAAATGTTTCTCCTCCGGCGGCCGGTGGCCCGCAATGTCCCGCCAGTGTCCCGCTGGTGTCCCGAAATCCTCCTGTGGCCGGGCCGCGGCCAGACCAAATGTTTCTCCTCCGGCGGCCGGCCGGTGGCCCGCGGTGTCCCGCCGGTGTCCCGGTGGTCCCGAAATCCTCATGTGGCTGGGCCGCGGCCGGACCAAATGATGCTCCACCTGGCAAACGGTGCCCCGCGGTGTCCCGCTAGTGTCCCGCTGGTGTCCCGCCATGACTGCGGCGAGCTATCCAATGCAAGTCTACATGCAAACCGACATGCAACCGAAAAGCACATCGAAATGCAAATCGACATGCACATCCAAATCCAAATCGTAAGGCGCCGTGGGTTGCGTATCTTAACAAATCGGCGCCTGGGGCGAGCTTTCCAATGCAAGTCGACATGAAAATCGAGATGCAGATCGAAAAGCAAATCGACATGCACATCGAGATGTCGACATGCGAATCGACATGCAAATCGAGATGTCGAGCGCGCTTCGTCAATATCGCCACATCACATCACGCTCACGATCACAGTCACACTACTCACTAGACTGCGCACCACAGGCATCGTCAGAACAACAGTCACCACTGTTGCCCATTGCTGCCACCCCCCCCAAACCTCCTTATCACCCGCAAGGTGGTCGTATAGGTGTGTGTATATACATATATATATATGGTCGCCCCCCCTCCTATGATCTACCTAAGCCTCTTTGCGGCCTTAACTTCCACTCGGAAGCCCTCGGGGTTGAGCCTTGACTTCCACTCTCGGGGGCACTCGGGGGAGCGGGACGGAGGGAGGGCGGGAGAGCGGGAGAGCGGGAGAGCGGGAGAGCGGGAGAGCGGGAGAGCGGGAGAGCGGAAGAGCGGAGAGCGGGAGAGCTGGGGAGGGCGGAGAGCGGGAGGGCGGGAAGCCGGGAGAGCGGGAGAGCGGGAGAGCGGGAGAGCGGGAGAGCGGGAGAGCGGGAGCGTCGGAGCGGTGAGCGGGAGAGCGGGGAGCGGGCTGAGCGGGAGAGCGAGATGGCGGGAGAAGTGGAAATTCGGGAGGAGTGGGAAGGCGGGAGAGCGGGAGAGCGGGAGAGCGGGAGAGCGGGAGAGCGGGAGAGCGGGAGAGCGGGAGAGCGGGAGAGCGGGAGAGCGGGAGGGCGGGAGAGCGGGAGAGCGGGAGAGTGGCCATCCAGGCCCGGGCCATTCCGTCCCGGGGCCTCTCGGGCCACCCGTGCCACCCAGGAAGCCCAGTTGGCGCGTTCTCGCTCTCCCGCTCTCCCGCTCTCCCGCCCTCCCGCTCTCCCGCTCTCCCGGTCTCCCGCCCTCCCGCTCTCCCGCCCTCCCGCTCTCCGCTCTCCCCCGTCTCCCGCGCTCTCCGCTCTCCCTCTCTCCGCTCTCCCGCCTCCCCCTCTCCCGCTCTCGCCGCTTCTCCCGCTCTTCCCGCTCTCCCGCTCTCCCGCTGTTACTCCGCTCTCCCGCCCTGCGCTCCCGCTCTCCCGCTCTCCCGCTCTCCCGCTCTCCCGCCCTCCCGCTTTCCCGCTCTCCCGCTCTCCCGCTCTCACGCCTCTTTGCGGCATCTCGTTCGTCTGTTAATCTTTCGGATGTAATTGCACGCAGCTTTGCTTTCGGAGACAATCGAGGGAGCATGAAGGCGGGAGGGTTGAGGAGCTGGAGAGCGGGAGAGCGGGAGAGCGAGAGAGCGGGAGAGCGGGAGAGCGGGAGAGCGGGAGAGCGGGAGAGCGGGAGAGCGGGAGAGTGGGAGAGCGGGAGAGCGGGAGAGCGGGAGAGCGGGAGAGCGGGAGAGCTATGAAGCAAATCCCGCATGCTCCTCCCGAGCATGCGGGATTCGCTTCATGGGGCCGCGGCCTCTCCCCTATGAAGCAAATCCCGCATGCTCCTGGGGAGTATGCGGGATTCTCTTCATGGGGCCGCGGCCGCCTTGCTATGAAGCAAATCCCGCATGCTCCGCTCTCTCGCTCTCCCGCTCTCCCGCTCCCCCGCTCTCCCGCTCTCCCGCTCTCCCGCCTCCAACACTCTCCGCTCACCACCGCTCTCCCCGCTCTCACCCTCTCCCGCTCTCCCGCTCTCCCGCTCTCCCGCTCTCCCGCTCTCCCGCTCTCCCGCTCTCCCGCTGCCCCGCTCTCCCGCTCTCCCGATCTCCTGCTAACTTCTCCAGTCGCCGATTGGACGAGGAAACCCTTCCCGGTCGCCGATGGGCGGCGGGAGAGCGGGAGAGCGGGGCAGCGAGAGAGCGGGAGAGCGGGAAAGCGGGAGAGCGGGAGAGCGGGAGAGCGGGAGAGCGGGAGAGCGGGAGAGCGGGAGAGCGGGAGAGCGGGAGAGCGGGGGAGCGGGAGAGCGGGAGAGCGGAAGAGCGGGAGAGCGGGAGAGCGGGAGAGCGGGAGAACGGGAGAGCGGGCGAGCGGGAGGGCGGGAGAGCGGGAGAGCGGGAGAGCGAGAAAACGGCCACCCGTGCCCGGGTGCGGGTGACGGGTGACGGACCCCGCTCTCCCGCTCTCCCGCTCAATTGCCCTCCCGCTCTCACGCTCTCCCGCTCCCCCGCTCTTCCGCTCTCCCGCTCTCCCGCTCTCCCGCTCTCCCGACCTCCGCTCTCCCGCTCTCCCGCTCTCCCGCTCTCCCGCCCTCCCGCTCTCCCGCTCTCCCGCTCTCCCGCTCTCCCGCTCTCCCGCTCTCCCGCTCTCCCGCTCTCCCGCCCTCCCGCTCTCCCGCTCTCTCTCGCTCTCCCGCTCTCCCGCTCTCCCGCTCTCCCGCCTCTCCCGCTCTCCCGCTCTCCCGCCCTCCCGCTCTCCCGCTCTCCCGCTCTCCCGCTCTCCCACTCTCCCGCTGTCCCGATCTCCCGTTCTCCCGCTCTCCCGCTCCTTGACTCTCTCATTCTCCTGTTCTGCCGCTCAGGGCCCGAAGTGATGCGGAGGAGGAGGTGGAGATGGAGGAGGAGGAGGATGAGGAGGCGGAGAGGATGGAGGTAGGAGGAGGAGGAGATGTAGGAGGAAGGGCAAGGAGGAAGAGGTAGAGGAGGAGGATGAGGATGAGAGGAGGAGGAGGAGGAGGAGGAGCAGGATGAGGAGATGAGGATGAGGAGAAGCAGGAGGAGCAGGAAGAGGAGGATGAGGAGGAGGACGAAGACGAGGACGATGAAGCAGAGGAGGCGGATGAGAATGATGAGAAGCAGGAGTCTGATGATCTGGAGAGGAGGAGGCGCAGGAGGAAGTTGGAGGCATATGAAACGAAGGAGTCGGAGGATAATGAGGAAGAGGAGGAGGAGGAGTTGGTAGAGGAGGAGGTGCAGGAGGAGGAGGATGAGGAGGAGGAGGAGGCGGATGAGGAGGGGGCGGAATAGGAGGGGGCGGAATAGGAATCAGGAGGAGGAGGAGCAGCAGCAGGGGTGAGGAGGAGGAGCAGGAGGTGGGGCGAGGATGAGGAGGAGGAGGACCATCAGCAGAAGGAGGAGGGAATGGTATAGTAAGTTTTCATTGACTGTAATACTCCTCATCATCCTTCCCATCCTCTCCTTGCCTCATCCCCACTTCCATCCTTCTCTTTAAATCCTAGTTTAGCCTTCTACTTACGCTGCTGTCCTATGCTTATGATGATGATGACGCCTGTGTTG